TGTTTTACATTTACATTTTAGCCACCCTGAGTAATTACCCTTTAATAAAACATTTCACTACATCTTCTTTTTTCACAATCACTTAAGTCCCAACAGATAGAGACCATCTGCCAACAGCGGCCTTCAAGTCCTACCCTTGATTCTAAGTTGTATTTAAATGTGGACTTTAACTGGGCCTTTCTAATACATAAACAGCATTTTTTCTAAATCATTGTAGTTTTGGCATTATCTTTAGGATATCTGAAAGTGTTCAAATATTCTTCCAATATGCTGAATACACCTTTTTTTATTCTGTAGCCGCATTATGGTCTGAATCCATATGTTTTTTTGTTTAAAATGTAAAAACTATATCACTTATTAAAGTCTTCCAATATAAAAATTAACTCAAAAATCTATTTAGATGTACATTAAAAACCAAAGAGTTACCATAAAAAGGTCTGTTACTAAGTAAGCTTTGGCCCTAGGGGCCACATAAGGTCAGTCGGACTAATTCTAAATATTCCTTCTGTGTTTCTTACTTTTCATTCATGTGTTTAAACAACACCCATCAGCTGTGTTTACATGTGCAGCGTAGAGCTGCGGTAAATTGTCTCGATACAGTAGGAAATTACCTTGGTTCTTGGATGTTCTGTTGACGATGAAACGAATGGAAGCATTTAAGGACAAAAACAAGCTCTGTTAGCGGCTTCAGCCCATCCTACGAGATTCTAACATCGGCAGTACAGCTCTTTCCATCGAGTTGCCAACATTTCAGTAAAACTTCACGAGGGGTGTAAACATTTTCACAATGTTTAGTTGTTCTGCTGTTCAGTTTAAGAACATTTTGGGTTGATTTTAGTTTCAGTAATGGCACGGGCATGTCAGAAACCCGTTTAAGTTTTGTGCCATACTCTGTAGTTTCTATCAATGCTTGGGGGTCAGTTAAAAAAAATAAAAATATGTTTTAATATCTCACGTATTAAGAGGCAGGCAGATCTATAACATACTTAAAGGATTGCATTCCCCCTCTAATCCGAGACATAAGGTAGCTCTTTGTGTGCAAGAACAGTAAAATTCGCCATCATTAACCATTATTTCTAACGGCTGCAGCTTTAAATACAACACTGTGGTTTAGCAAATGTTCTATACTTAGTTACAGCGAAGAGGAACAGAAGTGGATGTTCTTAAAGCACATGGGAGGCTTTTGGCTGTAATGCTCCCTCAGTGTCTATCTTACGTCTTTCTTTCCGGCTCTGAATGTCTGCAGCTCAGACCATCACTCTGTACTGGATGTGTGTGAGGAGGCAAGAGTGTGAGGAAGGAAGGAAGAGAGCTGTCAGGCGCGCTGGCTAAGCATCTAATAGGTTCCTATACAGAACTGACATTTGAAGGCTGCAGGGGCATTTATCTCGAAATGAAAGGAGAAACGAATCTGGAAAAAGAGAGCAAGAAACTGAGTACGCAGCAAGCATTCTGCAGAATTTATCAATGGTTCTGTCTACACTTTTCCTCAGCACGGCCTCATATCCTTTGTAATCTTCACCCACCCGAGTCCTCCGCCTTTTCACACTGTCCCCTGGCCTCTCGCTTTATATCTGTCGGACCCAGGGAGAGGAGAGGGGAAGGACAGAGATGAAAGGGAGCGAAAAAACTACAGCCAGGGGTAGACCTAGGGAGTGCTGAACGGTGATGCGATGGATGGCAGGAAGGATGAGAGAAACTGATGAGCAAAAGATAAGAGCCAGAAAAGGGATGAGAAAACTAGATGTTAAATGTTTCATTTAAGTTATGTCTTGACGGAGATAGACGTGGTAGATTTGACTAAGATGGAATATAAAGAAAAAATAGAAAGAAAAATGAACATAGCACAGATATATGCCCAGATGTGGTGATAGAACAAAGGTTACCCAAAATCTAAGTCTCTTTCTATGTCTGGCAGCAATAAGAAAACATCAGAAGGTTCTAACGGTCTCTTTATGCTCAATTTATCTCCTGTCATGTTTCCTCTTAGGCTACTTTCAGGGTTCCCATTACAGTCTCTCAAGAGCTGTCACAGGTAATCTATTTTAAACAACTGCAGCTCCTGGAACTGAAAGAAGACAGCTTTTATTGTCCTGGCTTAATTAGGTTCCAAGAACCAAGCGGTTTGCCCATGTTTTTAGCATGTCCAACTTTTAAAAGTAACCTATGTAGTTTAAGGCTTTCTTTGAAGAAATAGGAAACATTTTACAAAATGTTGTAGACTCCGAAAACAAGAAAAAGGGAAAGAACAAAAGAAGCACATGAAGGGATGGATGAAAAAAGTGAATTAGGCTAACGTTCTTAAAGTCTCTCCCCCTGAACTAAAAAACACACACATTCCAGTGGCTGTGTGTGTGGTTCCGTTTTGGTGTGACCTGCTCTAATGTAGTAATGATAGAATAAATGTGTGACACAATTTAAAACAGTGAATTGTTGTCTCTACCTTAGTGTCCACCTGTTTGAATTAACAATGAGTTGAAAAGTTTCTTATGCATATGAATATCCATTTTTATCTGTGTGCGCGCATGTATCCAAATCTGTGTGGGAGCCGGTGTGTGGAGATGATAAGCACCTGAGCCCTGAGGCAGCCTTCAGATTTCCCCTCACGTCCTCGGTGAAATCAGCCCAATCACTGCACTGTCATCTGCCTGCCACCAGAGAAAGGCCTGCACTGCATACTGACAGGCTCATTTGCCTAGTGCTGTGTACACACATGCATGCCCACAAGCACGAGCAAGCGTGCTCTCACTTATGCCCTCCAGGCTTTCCACTTTCTCCCAAAATTGAGTTCAAATAGAACCTCTGTGGGAGACATTTGTTGGATTTTTTTTCCACAGTTGAGAAAAATGCTTCCTACATTTTTTTATTATCAAATTGAACAGTGATTTTTTTTCCCCACCACGCTGCAGCCAGTTTAATATATTTTAAGAATATTTAATTTAACCCCAAGTTGTTCTAAAGAATGCACCTAAACATTTGTATTTGTCAAACAACAGAACAATGCTGTTAGCCTATATGTTTAAATTCAATCTTACAGCTAATATCCTAAAAAGTGAAAAAGAATCCTAAAAATAAAAAAAAAGGATAAAACAAAGAACAAACATTCTTGTTAGATCTTGTTGTGTAAGATCTTATCCTAGCTTTTGATGCTGGTGGCCTTTATAGTCCAATTAAGTAACATTATTTAGTGGTAGTGTGGGTTCAAACTTTATCTTTTGAAATAAGTTGAGGTTTCAGTGTCTGTATAAGCCAGAACACGGCCGTTTCTCAATATGTGTACTTGTGTGGTCGCATGTGCTTGTGTACTTGAAAAACGTCATCAGCCACAGCCCTAGTACTGTTCCAATTCACAAGAACAAGAAGACCGAGAACGGATGTTGTTCTCACCCCTCCCTCTTTTTTATGCATCAGAGCAGACTTGTCCGTTCTTGAGATTGACAGCTGTCCCAGGTTTCACCACGGCAGAAGCAGCTACCAGGTTCATGCCCACAGAGCTCAGAGAATTAAATTGAAAGTTCTCCTTTCTTTTGCCGTTTTTCTATAAAAGTATGTTTTTAAGATAATTTTAGGCAAGAACATTATACTTTTAAGCATCGCTATATGGCCGATTTACTGATTTAGTGCATACATGCATTTTCTGGCACGCTTTATCCCAAGCGGGATCACGAGGGGTGCTGGTGCCTTTCTGCTGCTGTCTACAGGCGAGAGGCAGGGTACACCCTGGACAGGTGGCCAGTCTATTGCAGGGCAACACAGAGACTAACAGGACAAACAACCATTCATGCACACAGTCACACCTAAGGAGAATTTAGAGAAGCCAATTAACCTAACAGTCATGTTTTTGGTCTGTGGAGTACCCAGAGAAACCCAAGCATGCTGGGGGAGAACATGCAAACTCCATGCAGAAAGACCCCAGGAATCAAACCCGCAATTTTCATGCTGCAAGGCAGCAGTGCTACCCACTGCATAACAGGACCGTGGCAACCAGCGGACCTCCAAAGCGGCAGATGAGCGTGCGGCATGAGTGTGCGGCATGAGTGCGCTTCTGTTCCAATTGACCCATATCTATGCTGCATGCTCCCATTCTCCCCGAGTCCATACTTCCCTGTGTTCTTCTCGAGAATATACTTGGCGGGAACCCAAGTCCATACTCATGTTCTTGTGAATTAAGAAACAGCCCATGTTTGACCAATACGTTTACCCTGTTACATGGAGTCCTGCAGGGCTGTGTTACTGAGTCACAAGTTTAGCATCATGTGTTTCAACACTATTGATGTTCATAAATTGCTCTAAAGCTGCACGATATCTTTAAAAACAGTTGTTACCTAAATTTTTCCTCCATTTAGATTCTGCATTCCAATTATATATTTGGCCAGGTTAATGACAAGGACACTACACCTCATAGTGGCAGGGGCATTGTTTAATGGTAAAGGAAAACAAAGTGAAAAAATGTGGGTGTATTAAGGGCAATATTTTAATTGCAATAGTTAGCAATAATATCACTATTGTATGATGTCCTGATGCATGCTTAGGAAGCTTTACTCTTCATGTTAAGGAGTGGAATCTTCTCTATTCCGGAAATATTAATGCCGTCCCAACATTAAAAAAGGATATGAAATGATCACAATCAATTAGTTTTGTTCTAAATTTCCTGATCACTGCATTGCAAGGTCCAACACTCACAATAAACTGGGCTTTAAAGCATAAGTATTCATACAAGTCTTAAAAATCTAACTGTTTGGTTTGACTAATCTATGTCTCCATATAATCCTTTCTAGTAATTTTAAATATATGGAGACATGGATTAGTGTCTGATTACTGTATTTTTCACTTCATAAAGAACACAAAAGTCTGGGTCCAAGTTTTGTGAACATTTTAAAAAGAGATGTTTTATAAGATCCTGATATATTTATGGACCATGGCATTTTTCTTTAGTTAAAAAAAGCTTCTGATGAGCTGCCAGTTTTCTGAGTATATAAACTGTGTATAGTAGCTCTTACCCTCCCCCGTTGCTCCTTGCCGTCAATCAGTTGAGTATGATGGTTGCAGGAAGCAAATTCCTTTAAATGTGTCCCCTCCGTAACAAGATGAGGTTGTTGTTTGGAAATCTGTTAAAAAAACAGTGATTAATTTAGAAGAGGTGCCATTCATTACTATTTTTAGGTACCATGGGGGAAACATTCACAAAAAAAAAAAAAAAATATATATAAACATTATTGTGATCATTGGCCCATGCCAAATCAATAGCAGTTTGCAGTAGTCTGCCAGTCTAGAACACTTAAAGTGCAACTCACCCAAATCAAATACATAACCCGCCCACAGACAAATTTTTAACAATACAAGCAAAGCGCAAAGTTTTGCCAGTTCATAATTAAAAAGAACGAGCTCAAAGTTCACACAGCTTAAAATGAACTAGCCCATGTAACAATTTATTTTTTCAAAAATTATATAAGTTTACAAACCTATAAATGAACTAGTTCAAGTTCAATTGGATAATTAAGCCACAATCCTACACAATAGAACCTCATATTTCAGCTTTTAAATGTGTGATTATAATGTAAAAAGAAATGGGAAATAATGGATGCAGTCAAGGTAAACTGTATGTGCAGTGAAGCCTTTATTTAGTCAAATCACACACAACTTCAGAAATATGCAGGTACATTCAGGTTCTGCTGAAAAGATCTTTATCAAAAAGGATTTTATACATTTATCATTCAGTAGCAGATATTTCCCAATGCTTTAACTTGATGTGTTGCTTTAAATTTGAAGCAGACATGGCTTATGTACAGACTTGTCTGTTAAGCCCCAGAGGGCACAGTTTGCTCAAAAACGTGTGTTTTTTTTTTTGTCCGAGTCTTCCTTTGATAGTTCATAAAACTCTGCCAAGTTTGCTGCAAAACTGATATCAGAAATACAGGTAGATGAGTCCCGAATCGTGCAGACTAGTATTAGCAATAGACATGCTGGTCTGTCATGATATTTGCCATAAAAAGTGCTGTAAAACCTGATTTTATCCAATGAAAAGTGTTGCTATCAATTGAATGCGAACATGAGATGTGTGTGTCGTTCATTATTCTCAGAGTGAACGTCTCTGGTTCACGTTCATTACCTTAAAATTGCTCCGTTCAGTTGACCATTCACTAAAAATATGAACGTAACCAATGAACGCCGTTCATTGAACGCATTCACGAACAACACTGGCAAAGTGCTTAGTGTCATGAGACACCGAGGCACAGGGCTAAAGGCTTGGTTATGATTGATACACAATGTTTTCATACTGAGTGAGGCTTTTCCTCCCTGGATATAATGTTCAGGTCCCCTCTAGAGGTGACAGACTGCAAGCATGCAACGCAATATGAAGAAGAAGAAAGCACTGTAATTTTGAAAAATTTTAAAAGCCTCTTTGTGCCATTTAAGAGTGAGGTTAATTTATTTCCAAGTTCAACAATCAGTTGATCATAGTGATATATGGGCCAAATCATAAGATTTATCTAGATGTTTATATTTAAACAGCAGTAGTAGCAATCACAAGTCAACATGTTTCTTCCATGTGACTACGAGAAACGAACAAAAAATCTGCCAGTGAGGATGTATTAAAAAAACAAGGTTTAGGTGTGGGGAACAGCAGTTCTGGTATAGAACGTGACACCTAGCTTAGCTTAGACACATCGAGGCATGGATTGTGAGCAGTGGGAGCCTGGTAGACACGACACAGATAGATTTTTTGATAGTTGATAGCGGAGGATTTTTCATCCTTACACTATCACTGGAAATTAAAGGAGGCCCAGTTGACCGAAGTCTTCAAGCCACTTGATTCAAAGCGCTGACTCAGTGATACCTGAGGCCAGTGATGCTGAGGCAGCAAAGGACAGGATGTCTGTTACAGAGGTGTATGTCTGAGTGGGTTGTATTTAGACCTGAATGCAGGGATATAGTAAATGCCCGTACCTGTGAGGTGGTCATATACCGCCACGTACCAGTTGAACTAATAGGAAAATTAAACTGCTATAGCCACTGTTAATCTACTTTGGCATAAAACTCTTACATAAAAAGGTAAAACAATTCAAAAAGCACTACATATGCCCCCGTAGATCCAATATAATATTTTAAATGCAAGAATTATATCCTTCAAATTGTTAGGTCAATATTTTGTGTATTAGTTTAATAATACTGGGGTGCCTATTTATAAATGCTACATTTTTAAAAAGGCATATCTATTTAAAGATCTTTTTAATCATCACTTTACTCTGTATCTTGGAGCAATCTCCTATAGCCCTCTACCAACATCTCATTGCCCAAACACTGTCCTAGAAAACCAACACATGGAGACCGACAAGGTGAAGACAGACATTAAGGTCATGCAAGACTGAATGAGCAGATTTGAGAGGAAGCATCTTGCCGTGTTTGTTCATGTCTTGCTGTCCACTAACGTGCAGGCTTGAGAATAAGAAAACATGGAGAATATATGAATTCTGCATGTGTTTATGTCCATGTGCCTTGCCAAGCTTTTGAGACGGCAGAAGCCACACAGAGTGCTGCTCTCCTGTCAGTGTGATTAGACGGCTGCACTGACAGAGCAGAGATGGAGAGACCAGAGGGAGAGATAGAAAGCAGCGGAGAGACGGGGAAAGACTTTCAACCGAGGCGGGGGATTTGAGGGAGGGAGTCTTCAAAGAGCATGCGGCCAGGCGGCTGACACGTACAGCGTTTCTGCCTCTGTTTTTCAGGCGCACTCACCCGAATGTTAACACTCACCCAAGGCTGCAGTGAGGTCATTTTGGCTCCGCTTTACTTTCAGTTTAACATGAGCCCAACGCTTATCTATGCATGCACACAGTTCACCTTGACTCTCCTTCCTTAGCCCAAAAGAGGCCAATGTGAGAGCATGTCTCAGTGTCTGATAAGAGGTTTCCATGAGAACAGCAACAGCGGCAACCCCCACGGGCTCATTTACATATTCAAGTGCAGTAGTGTGGTTGAATTACAGTGATTGAATGACCTGATCGATACGGTGGACTTAATGGTTGGATGCAAGAAAGGGCAGACAGAGGAGAATGGAGATGAAGAGGAATCAGGGTGAGAGGAAGAGGAGAGTGTCAGCTGACAGGAAAGCAGTTGATGCAACTGTGTATGAATTTAAATCAGTGTGAGCTTTATTCAGTGCCACCCATCACTTTATGTCTGCTTGTACCTAAAATCATATAGCCTACTTATGCATATACACCATGGCTAACCCATACACACCAAGTCATAAAGAAACCATTCAGACAGTAGAACAAAGTTGTGTTAGAAGAACTTGTGGGGTGTAATACTGAAATACAGCAGTATTACTTGTAAAAGAGAAGGGCTGCAATATGGTCTAATTAATTAAGTAGAAGATAACATATTTTGAGCTACTTAAATAAAGTTGAGTCTTATTTTTATATAAGAAAAGAAGTAGTTCTGGAGTCACCTGTTGTGTAGATTTGGGAAAACTAACCAAGCTGTGAGAGTGGTGCAAAGGGGGCAGGTGCGCCCTCTTGTGGTTAGCAAATCACATAGAAAAAACGATATTTTCATTTAAATTAACCTGAATGGTGCTATGTATGTTTGTATTGCAAGCAACCACATTTAACATGAGGAGTTCAAAAAAGGATATGTAGAAAAATATAGATATTTTGGCCTAACTATATTTAGTTGCAAAATTTGCTTCCAAAAATCAGATGCTAAAAAAGATTTTGAACTAAATTATTTAAAAGTAGACATTTGGGCATCTTGTTTGCAGACTTTTATAAATGGCAAGTTTCAAACGTACTCTGTAAATCTAAATAAAATATAAATAAGTCAAATGGTTTAAAAAAACAAGGTGGATTCCAAAGAGAATCATTCCTTTTAATCCCCAAAAAATGCAACACAACAAGCAACATGCTCTGTTGTTTGATCCACTTTCAGTCTGTGCAGGAATTTCAATATTCATCTGTTTATCAGGAAGATTTTACCATCCTCTTTTTCAATGCTTATAGAACTGGTAGTGTTTGTGATGATTGATCTCTGCAAACGGACATCAGCCTACAAGCAAGAAGCATTTCACAAAAGTGCACAATGTTAAAAACATTTACCATCTTTGAACAGATTTAGTCAAACTCAATGTGGGCACCTAGAAGTCAGTCTAGTTCAGAATGCAAAAGTTAGTGAAAGTTTTTTCAGCACAGCACTGATGCTTTTATTGCTTAAAGCAGAAACAAATGGTGCACGGGTAAGAATGAGGCATCCACAACCAGCTGAAGGATGATCCTGAGAGATCTGTGCTGGATATGTCCCACTGGTCCATTATTTTTATTTTTGAAGTACAGACTGCACAAGGTCGACACAATCAGGTACAAGGCCAAGGAAGGAAGTGAAAGTCATTGGTAAAGAGGGAAGAAACCTTGGAAGCAGCAGTAAACAAAAAAGAAAGATGTACAATTTCAGTTTAGTGCTATTATTACCTTAACTTTATAAGATTGAAGAACCAAACCTGCCTGACATGATGTCATTATGCATAGCTTTCTGGATTGTCTTTGACTCTTTCTTGCTGACCACACAGATTACTGGATATGCAGCAGCCCATTCTCTGAAAGCCAGCCTTCTCTCTGCTCGGCTGTGTCTGAAAGCCCAAGATTATCTAAGCATCAGTAAGCCACCGAGGAAGTGGATCAATCACGGTTTTATTATGATGAGTGCGTTGGGGTGGCTGCGCAGGAAAGTAAATGGGGCTACATTATGCAGTGCAATAACTTTTCATAACGGAAAGGCGGCCGCAAGAGGCGAGCAGCACAATGAGATGTTTACATAAACATCACGGGGAGGATGCTGACAGTGTGGATTTAACGGTTTATGGACGTGTGTGAAGCTTTCAAGAGCAAAATGTCGAGATGCTGTGTTAGGACAAAATTTTTAATCTACGTGTCTGCTGGTGGGTTTGTGGTGCATTTTCTCTAATCTCTTTCTAAATTCACACATATGCCTGAATCCAGACACTTGATTTGGTGCAGCGGTGAGAGCTGGACTGAAGACGAGGCTGTAATCGGCAGCTGCTGTGACAATGGAGCCCCGGTGGTCAGGGGGACAGAGGAGTGCGATGGGTGGT